CAGTTCAAACTCAGCCCTGACAAATAAACTGCAAAAAGAAAAAAAAGTATACCAATACTTAGAGGATAGAAAAAAATATTTACTATTTTAACAGGCAATAGGGACTACAATAGGGACTAACATTCAAACATTCAACTCAATTTTAAAGAGTGACACTGCCAAATGCTGCCTGCATGGATTTTACATTCCAGTTAAATCTGGCAGGGGACATGATAAAAATAAACAAAAATATATTACATGCAGAAAACTCTGTAAAGAGAAAAAAATAAAGTAACATATTAAAGAAGGATTAGGTAGGTAAGCCCTTCAGAGGAAGTAATGAGAGAGGTCTCTCTGAAAAGGTAACATTTAAGCTGAAACATGAGAGATGAGAAAGACACAGCCTGAGTTCCACAGACAGGAAGCAACTAGATCAAAGGGTTTCAGTCAGGATCAGCTTGATGACTTCACAAAAATCGAAAGAAAGCCACTGTGAGCAGGAACAAGGCTGAGAGAAATAAGCACAGCACAAGAGTAGAGTGCAGCTATACAAAGCACTGGCAATAAAGCCGAGGTAGTACAGGACCTGGATATGCATTCTGCAACTTAACAGCCAAATACTTGGAAAGATGTTACTGAATCTCTTCAGATCTCCATTTCCTCATTAATAAAACAGAGCTATCAACATGGTTTAACAGTAAAGTCCAAACATATGGAGAAAGATACCTGGTATCATGCAATAGAGATGGACACTGATGCTTGATGTGTAAGTTAGCAACAAATACTTCCCAACAGGCACACGATGTGAAGAAAATAAAATACTAAATACCAACAAGAGTCAAACTTTGCATAGGGACTAATTTTTTCCAGGATGTGACTGGCTTGAACATAACTCAATGTAGCCTCTAACTCCTAGACTTAAGTGATACTCCTGCCTAAATGTAACAAGGAGGTGAGACTAAAGGTGAGTGCAACTACACTCAGCTAATTTTAAATTTCTGTTTTTTTTTTTTTTTGAGACAGAGCCTAAAGCTGTCAACCTGGGTAGAATGCTGTGGCATCATAGTCCACAGCAACTTCCAACTCCTGGGCTTAGGAGATTCTCTTGCCTCAGTCTCCCAAGCAGCTGAGACTACAGGAACCTGCCACAACACCCGACTATTTTTCATTACAATTTGACCAGGGCCAGGTTTGAACCCGCCACCTTTGGTATGTGGAGCCACAGACACTGCCCAGAGATTTTTTTTTAAGTACTTTAATTAGAACTGTTTCTTTAAAAATGAAACAATCCACTTCAAGTGTAACATTACCTACCATCTTTGCTAGACTGCTTTGCCAGAGTATAGGAAAACACCATGGTCTAAGAGGCAAAGATCATGTACTAGAACCAATGGATGGTAGAAAATTAAAATTCCTAACAAGGTAACAAACCAAATCACAATGGTACTAAAGATAGCCATAGATAATATCCTGTCTTGGTAAGCACAGCAACTGAGTATAGTGTAGTGGCTTGATCCTATAATCCCACCTACTCAGGAGGATCACGTGGAAAGATCATTTGAAGCAAAGTCTTAGAGATAAGCCTGGGTAACACAGTCAGATTTCCTCTACAAAAAGACAAGACAAGACAGGGTGTGGGGGCTAATGCCTGTAATCCTAATACTCTGACAGGCTATGGCCAGTGGATTGCTTGAACTCACATGTTTGAGACCAGCCTCAGTGAGACCACCCCACCCCCGTCTCTACTAAAAATAGAAAAAGTGAGGCAAGAGGTTCATTTAAGCCACAGTAGA